GAGCTGTTTCAGTTATAAACGGATAAGAAATAGTGAAATTACAACGAAAATTTGGTGAACTGACTCTTTTTATTCCACAGTACTCTAACAATTCAATACAAGATTCTAATCAGCATGTTTAATCTTCTGATGTTGCTGACTAATTTATATCTATATTCGCTTATTAAAAAAATCTTGTAATTAGCGTTTATTTTTAGTTTTTAATTTAATCTTTGTTATTTCACATTATTTTTTTACCATGCTTCTTCGTATATAAAAAAGCTGTTTGTAGTGAATGATCTTGTTTGTGAAAATGTTATTTTTTTAACTGTTAAAATACAGGTCATTAAATAAGTGTTGTTTTCTTAATACCAATATAAGATTTCATTACATCTCGTTTGATATTTTTCTTATCAATTGTTATTGAATCAAAATAGCCTACATTTGGGGGTTATTTTTATAAAAGAACAAAAAGTTCATTTTTCTTAAAGTTGCCACCGTATTTATAAGATTTCTCCTTTGTTGTAAACCTCACAAAACTTGGATTGATTTTAAAGTAAAGAAAAAATTCAGCGCTACAACATGTCAGAGATTGATTTTTGAAATCGTTTCTTTATGTTTTATCATGAAAGATCGAAGAACCATGGGCTAGTTTTATATATCTCGATTTAGCATCAGAATTCTAAAATACTATCTGTTGTTAAATTTTCATTTACACAATATATTTTAGAAGAAAATCGCCAAAAACCAACACTTTTCAACAAAATTTTCTTGATACAAAAAAGTGGTTGAAAATATTTTTAATAAACACAAAAATGATTAACGTCACGAATAGTAACTATCCAGAAAGTTTCAACTCTGTCCAATGAGTATTAACAAAAGGGGAAAAGACAAAGGAGACTTTCATCTTAAGTCTGTACACGTGATTCGAGTATGATCATTGTCATATATGGCATATTTCCAATTGTTGAACTGATTATTTCCTTTAAATTCAGTTACAAACTCAACAAATATTCAGAAATCGACTGTCTTAACTGCAGCATAAGTCAGCTTAACAACTCATATACAAAAAGCGCCACTATTTGGCAAAATGCTTCCAAAAATGATTAATAACTGAAAAACCATCCATATATCCTGTAATTTTGAGCAGAGCCAATTTTCGCTAAAATTTGAGTAAACAACGGTATAGTAGCAATACATTTTGACGACAAGACTATATTAGACACAATCGTGCAATAAACTAACGTTTCATCTATATTTTGCAGACAAGAGAATTCCTGCATGTAGATCGGTGCAGGCCGCGTATGTTTAGCCGCATAATTTACAAAAAAGATTTTAAGGAACAAAAGAATCAGATACTGCATCTAAAAGAATAATTATCCTTTTCAAACACTATTGAAAACGTAATTTATGTCTTATACAATATTTTAATCAGATCATTTTTAATGTAATTAAGTTAATAACAATAATTCTAATACATTAATGTCTCAACTGTATTGATGCTGCAAACTGCATAAGTGTTAACAAAACTTAAATATTTTGAATCTAGTTGAAAAACAAATAAAAATCATTTATAAATATAACCAAAAACATGATAGAGGATAGAATTAGCTAAAAACCATGGTTTGTTCTACTAAACACGTGTGGCTTGAAAATCGTAAAAGTGCTGATTCACTTTCTCTTTATCGATAATATCCGTATCAACTGGCAAAAAATAGACAAAGCCATTTTCAAGAAAATTTTCATCCGGTAACAATTCTAAATGTTTAACGTTTTTTCGAATATATTTTACCATTGTTATCATTCTGTCCAATGGTAATTGTTCAAATGAACATAAATGTCTATAAATAGCTGATGCCAACACAATATCATCAGCGATAATGCCTTCATCAAAACCGAATACAAATGCATTTAATTGTGCACGTAATTCTTCTAGTTGCTCTCGACGTAATTTTGTTTGTGCAACAGTTATTTGTTTAGCTCTTTCATCAAAATCAAGCCACATTGATAAGACAAATCTCTTCCGTAAATGCAGACCGGTATTACCTGAAACAAATAGTCATACTGTTAATCTCATATCAAAATGGGTAAAGAAATGGAAAAAAAGGTCGTGAGTAATA